GATCAAAGAAAGATGACGAATAAAATTTTATTAATTTTTATTTTAATATTATAAATTAATTTAGATGTCTTAATTATGTGTAAACAAATAATTATTCAGTCAAAAATGATGTGTATTAAAACGTAGTTCTAATGTATATTTAATATTTATCTGTTTTATTAGTTGAAAATATTGTGCTAAAGTACGAATCTACTGACATTAAGGTTCAGGAGGTGACATTATATATATATATATATATAAACAATACATACATTACATTATATGTACATATATGAACTATTAGTTATTACTTTTTAAAATCATTGATCAATTACTGCAAAAAAATCTTCATCTCACAACTAAGTTAAAATGTTAATATATATAGTATGTATATTATATATTTAATGTATCACATGATGACTCATTTAATCCTACGCGGTCCCAGAAAACAAAAAATATAGAAACATGTTTTTGGTTTTTCATAAAGTCGGATTGTTAGTTGGAATCTAGTAAAATTTGTCCCAAATAAATTAACTCCGTTGTCATCTACATTTTTGGGGTTTAAAAGTAATTGTATTTTTATTTGTAAAAGTGATCTCTATTATATGAATTAATGTAATATTTTCAACTATTAATTAATTTAATTAATAAGGTATATACCTTTAGTACTAGTAAGTAATATTCCAAATTCAACGCACACTTATTTTGATCTCATTAATTTGAGACCTCTAAAAATAATATACATTCATTCCACACAACAATTTCTCCTGGTCCCCAACGCTATTAGTGATGAAGCTTGTACATGTATATATATATATTATATATATATATATGTTAGCACTTTTACATGTGTAGATTTATTGATAATTACATAAAACTCAATCAAGATATTATATAAAAATCTAATTTATTATATTCTATTGAAATACTTTTTAATTGGCGAGTTCAGGAAACACACACTAGTCTACCTTATGTTAACTCAGACATGCACATGCATGCCATAAACACGAGAAAGATACACACGTCCTCTTTAGCAAACGTCGAAATGGGATATATATACATACATACATATATATATATATATTTAAGTCAATTATAATATCACAAATTGATTTATTCAGGCGAACGTGATGAAATAGATGCATATATTATATACATAGAATATAGACCCAAATACTTTTGTATCAACAAATAATATGACAAATGATTTTCTGCTGGCTTCTTTCTTTATATGATTTTCTTTTTTTTTTTTTTTTTTTTTTTAGAAAACAACACCAGCACTAATAAAGCTTTATGGTTGTTCACAGCGACTTCCTTAAAGGTGGTCTGGGTTTTAACTCAAATTATGATAAATTAATTAATTACTCTCTAATTTATTTTTTAATTTTTATATTTTTTAATAATTTAAAATTCATATATTTTATTGATACAACTGATGTTATGCACGTTAATAATAATACAAATTTTTTTAAAAAATATAAATAATGATATAAGTATATATTGACTCCAAGAAATATACAGGTGATATTAATCGACCCACCCAAGTCTTTTAATAACAATGAGTAGTGCAGTGCATAGTAGTTAGCACCTCATTCCGAGATCTCAGTCAGCTTTCGTAACCCTACCAAATATATTAAGAATTATGACTCAAACCCACATCTATATATACTTCCACCATGACTAATCTCTTAATTCACTAAAAGAAACGCAAGTTTTGATGTCGTTTTAGTGTTTTCTCCTTCTTCCTCTCCCTTCCACAAACGATAAAATCCAACTGATACTTATTTTGTCCTTTGTATAGAAAAGAGCTCTTCTGCTACTAAATTGAATATTTCTCGCCATAGGAAACTGTGGAGTTCCTTTGTTAATGCGGCTCTACTTACGAAATTTAAAACACGAAATAAAAAGAAATAAATTCAAAGGCATGACAGTGGTGGTCATCTTGGTGCCTCTCTGGAAGATTTTTTTTTTTTTTTTTTTTTTTTTTTTTATAAATTTTTTTAAATTTTTTATATTAAAAATGATTAAAAATTAAATTTTTTATACGTTAAATATCACATAATATCTTTTATAAAAGTTTATCAAATTAAAATATGTAACTACGTGTCAAATTCAGTACCCCGAATTAAATCCATGTTAATTACATTTAATAATTAGAACTTGATACAAATATTCAATATATAATACCAATTTAGTATTTGTACTTTTTAGTAGATTATCTGTATATTAACATTAATTTGAGCTTTTTGGGTGGAGAAAGAAAAGTAATAAGATTAAAATTTACTGCAGGTGATTTCAAAAGAAGCAAGAGAATACGAATTGGGAGAAACAAAGTATTACATGGTGATGATAGGGAGTGCATTGATATGGCAGTGCTACATGACAGGGGCAATAGGAGTTGTGCCCTGCCACTCCTCACTCTTTTCTTGTATTATAGTAACAGTTCTATTACCAGTCACAGAGATCCTCGGCTTTATTTTCTTCCGCGAAAAGTTCCAAGTTGAGAATGCCGTGGCTCTTGTCCTCTCTATCTGGGGCTTTATCTCTTTTTTTTTTTTTACGGCGAGTTCAAACACAAGTTAAAAACAATTCAAAGCCAGATTCACTGGTTAATCCAAGTTCGTAAAAAATAATTGTTACTGTTCTATCTTATAATGTTGATCAGTTAATGTTCTAATTTCAGTAACCAATAGGTTTTAACTCAATAGCTATCTAAGTTCTCGTTAGAAATTTTAGTTTCGATTTTTATGTAACTTAAGACTAATATCTATTGCGTTTTACATCTTCTAATTCATGTTAGCTAATTCGACATTCTAGTAAACTGGGCGTTTTCAACGGCGGTTTCCTGGCTGTTGACAATTATCTGACAATAACACTATAGGTGCTGCTCCTGAAGTTACATACACCCACAAAAGAAAACTTATGCATGAATGTCTATTTTTTTTTCCATACTAATTCTTTTCATTAACATGCACACATGTATATGTGTTATTTATCTATGGAAAACAACATATATTAACCTGGCAAGAAGGGTATGTTTTTGCAATGGACATTTGCCCAGCAAATTGCAGAGACTGGGCATCGACCGAGGAAGGTACGGAGCCTGATGAACGTCTTAAACTCTGGTGTGTGTGTGTGTGTGTGTGTGTACTATATATATACATATGCATGTGTTGAAGGCATCCAAACTTTGGGCCAAATCCACAGTTAGCAGACTCAATGGGTTTTTGAAGAACGGTAAGAGTATAAACGAAAGAAAGTCTCAGGGTATGATTTAGAACAAACTAATAAAGTATTTTTGTAAAATTTAGTTAGGTACAGAGTTTACAATAATTTTGAAATTTATTTCAAATATATAATTAAATATTTTATATTTTCAGGGATTTTTATAAAATATAACTAGACTTAATTTCCTCTCGTCCTAGAAAAAATTAGAAATAAATTGAAAAAAAACTTTGAGAAACTTTATTGTATACACACACACACACACAAAAATTTATATATATATATATATATATTATTTTCGATGTATAAATGTCTAAAGTACCTTTTTATAATTATTATATAAATAAATTGAACTGGGTTCTACCTATACTCTATAAAGATGTATGAACATATCATACGGCAGTATTACAACATACATATGAAATAAAATTAACATTAAACAAATGAAAGAAATGAATAATTAATTCGTAAAGTAGAAAAATCAAATTTGATTTAAATGAAAAAAGGTTCCATGTCTTGTAAATATGATTTTTTTTAATTTACTTTCAACCGAAAGATAAAGTCCACAATTGACGGATGAACATTCAAGAAGGATTAATTAATTTCTTCCAGTTATTTCTGCAACACATACATATATATATATATATATTATATCTATAGCTTTTGGGTGGTTCTATATTTTATATATGTATATATGTATCTGTGGCTGGGGCATCTAGCACTTTTAATTTTTTCATCCTGAAGTTTCAGCAAGGCATATAGCACAATTTTATCCTGCGGCAAATTGACAAGAAGATTAAAAAATTACACAGTTTAAGAGAAAAGGTTCTTTTACAGATATATTCTTACGAATTAGTGGTCCAAAACATATGCTTATAGCAATAAATATGATTAATTTATACACACGCATGATTCATGTGGTTTATGTCAAGGGAAGTTGATGGTTGGAGATAAATTTATGCGTAATTGGTTATAATATTTGATATTATAATTATATCTATCTGTGTAATATTCATTTTTTTTTTCTTTTAACAAATTCATTCACCCATACATCTACGGTTGTAAAATTTGGTCTCTCTCTAGGCAGTGTTCGCAGGCTCTTTGATGGAGGTGAAAGGACATCTGACCTGACCTCACACACTAAATCATTTAAATTTTAAAAATATGTAGATAAATATTTAATTAAAACTATAAACTTATTTCATAATCTAATATTAATTTGATGTTTAATCTAAGTATTAAAATGATAAATTTTTAATCTAATATTAATTTGTTTATATCATTTTTTTAAGTTTTAAGTAACATATCTCCAAATTCTTTTAGCTAAATGTTTATATAATAAAACTAATTCAATAATTACATTTAAATGAGTGATGTCTCTGATTTTATAGTTCGACCACTCAAAATTATATTCAAAGTTCAACAAAATTATTTAATTCATATATATTTTTCTTTTATGCTTCCCTATAAATTCCATAATTTCTTGTCAGATTCTCCACTGAGCAGAGCACTGAATTCAATTCCTTTCAAGGTCATTCGGCTGCAAAGCGCGCTCAGGTCAGATGTCGTTTTACATGTTAAGTTTATGCTTTAATTAATCCAACAATTCAATACTTAACCCTATAAATTCTACACACTGTGATCTTCTTATACGTTTTACTCAGACACCCGGAACCAGCATATTGAAAACAAGCCTCGATAAGGGAGACATTGAGGAGTTCTTTCTTCTGGTTTCAGCTCACTGAAAAGTAAAAATGGTAGACACGGTAGAAGAAGCACCAAAGCCAAACATCGCAATGAAAAGAGCCCTGCTTCTACTAAGCTGCATCGTCCTCGCCATTGGCAACTGCGGTGGACCTCAAATAATGAGACTCTACTTCGTTCATGGCGGCAAACGAGTCTGGTTATCTAGTTGGGTCCAAACTGCCGGTTGGCCCATCATGCTCATCCCTCTTGCTGTCGCTTACCTTCGCCGGCGCCGGACGACCCAACCCACCTCAGAACCCATTAATCCCACCTTCTTCGTGAAACCTCATACGTTCTTCCTGGCGGCAAGTTTGGGACTCATCGTCGGCCTCGACAACTACATTTACGCCTATGGCGTCGCCTGGCTTCCTGTGTCGACTTCGTCACTGATACTTTCTACCCAGCTAGCGTTCATTGCTGTTTTTGCTTTTCTTTTGGTAAAGCAGAAGTTTACTCCTTACTCCATTAACGCTGTGGTGGTGTTAACCATTGGAGCTTCCATTTTAGCTTTGCACACGAATGGTGACCGGCCGGAAAATGTGTCCTATAGACAATATATAGTGGGATTTATGATGACGGTTGGAGCTGCAGTTTTGTATGGGTTTGTGTTGCCGTCGTCGGAGCTCATTTTCATGAAGTCCAGCCAGAAAGTTACCTACGCACTCACGATTCAGATGCAGATTGTCATGTGTATGTTCGCTACCGCATTTTGTTCCATCGGAATGCTGGTTGACAATGACTTTAAGGTTTCATCTCTTTACATCTATTATACATACATATATATATATATATATATATATAATCTGGATAAGCAATAGGTGGGTTCTATAATATTAATGTTAATTATTTATTTACAGGCAATTTCAAGAGAGGCAAAACATTACGAGCTGGGAGAAGAAAAGTACTACGTAGTTATAATCTCCAGCATGATGATATGGCAGTGCTACTTCACAGGTGCAATAGGAGTCGTCTTCACCGCCTCATCTCTGCTGTCCGGTATCATAGTCAACGTTCTTTTACCTGTGACAGAGGTCCTCTCTGTAATTTTCTTCCGTGAAAAATTCCAATCAGAGAAAGTGGTCGCTCTCGTTCTCTCTCTCTGGGGCTTCATATCTTACTTTTATGGCGAAATCAAACACGGGAAGAACCGCAAACTACAGACTCAAAAAACAGAGCAAGCCGTACCTGCTGGAACACTTTCTAATAATCCATGAAAAAACCAAGCAAGATTCATGACAAAGAGTCTGAGTGGATTACATCTAATTAACTCAAGAACTTGAAATGACTTTTTTCCCCTCAATTTGAGTCTTGATTGGAGCTAATAAATTCATTTAAAAAAAATCATGGTTTCATTTTAATAAATATAAAAATTCAGTTCATAAAATTTTTAAGAGTATATACGAAAATTCATAGAAAAGAACGCACAAAATCTTGAAAATAATTGGAGAATGTTGTTTTTCTTATTTATGGAAAACAATTAAAGAATATCGTCTCTGATGTCGGGAATCATGGTTTCGCTTCTAACTCTAATAGAGAAAGTAGTCAAAATGGTCAAATAGTTAGTTTAGTCAGTTTCGGATTAGTTTTAGTTAATTGCGATTAGTGTTAATTACTGATGTTTAATGACATGTTTAAATGCTCACCCCGATTCGTGGAAATGGCATCGCCTCATTTACTTTTTCTACGATATGTTCTTCTCTCTCTCTCTCTCGTGATTATTCTTAAATTGGAGGCAATTGCTTTCTATTTATTGTAAAAATTAATTTCTAAAACATACACCATCAACATAAAATAAAAACTGAAACTAAAATAACATTAAGATTTTACGTGATTCGATAATGTATTTATTTATACGAACAAAATTATAAAAAAAAATATTTTATTATAATCAAAAGTGAATAACTCAAATCTATATCTATAAAATTTTTTAGAGTTTTTCTTTATATTCTCAAAATACATATAATATTAATTTCTGAAATAATTATAAAAATACTTTATGATTAAAATTAGAAGAATTTAAGCCGTATGAACACAATTTCATGAAAATCTCTTATTGATCTTAAACTTCAACACCCATAATTCCTTCTCTTAATCAGTTTTCCTTGATCATTTTATCTCGACAGACAAAGAAAGAAGGAAGAAACCCTAAAGTCCACAGATAGTTGGAAATTCCTCTTCTATCTCAATGATTTTCAAGATTGTTCGATAAATTACTTGAAAGAGTAAGAGAAGAAGCTGTATTGCAGTTTGGAGCTTCCGCAGAGTCCAGGTATGAATACTTCAACTCCTGCGTCATAACTTTCGACTTTGACTTCTTTCTCTATTAAATTTCGGTTACGGAGGTTTTAGGAGTCATTTTCTTGGACGAGAAATTCCGTCCGGAAAAAGTGTGTCGCTCTTGCCCTCTCCATCTGGGGTTTTATCTCCTACTTCTATGGCGAAACAAGAAACCTCAAGAAACAAAACCGAAATGCAACAAGCATGAGCAGATATATATACGTGCAAAGTCTATATTTTGCACACTTATTCTTTTCATGCACATGCACACGCAAACACGTTGCAGAACGATATAATAACCTGGCCAGAAAAGCATCTAATTTCAACGGAAATTTGCCCAGCAAATTGCAGAGCCTGGGCATCGACACAGGAGGGTACGGAGCCTAATAAACGTCTTACACTCAGGTGCGTGAGTCTCTCTCTCTATATATATATATATATGTGTGTATGTATGTGTGAAGTCCTCCAAACTTTGGGTTTTTCAAGAATGGTAAGAGTATAAACGCAAGAAGTCTTGGGTTACGATGATTTAGAACAAAGTAATAAAGTATTTTTGTAAAATTTATTTATATATAGAGTTTACAATAATTTTGAATTTTATTTTAAAAATCTAATTAAATATTATACACTTTCAAAGACATTTATAAAATATAACTACACTTAGTTTCCTTCGTTTTAGAAAAAAATAGAAATAAATTGAAAAAAAAAAACTTGAGAAACTTTATTGCACTCATATATATATATAAATATATTATATTGGGTGTGTCTATATTTAATATATAATATATATGTGGCTGGGGCATCTAGCACTTTTAATTCATTCATCCGGAAGTTTCAGCTGGGCATATAGTACAATTTTATCCACTGGCAAATATAAAAAAAAAAAAAATATGCTCATTGCATGATTCATGTGGTCTTTGTCGAGGGAAGTTGATCACCGGAGATAAATTTATACGTAACTTAATATTATAATTTTATATATCTGTGTATATTATAAATATTTTCTTTAACAAATTCATTTACCCAAACATCCAGGGTTATAAAATTTGGCCTCTCTTTAGGCAGGGTTCGGAAGGCTCTTCGATTGAGATGAAGAGACATCTGACCTCAAACACGACCATGGTGTTTTTAACAAATCATTTAAATTTTCAAAATATTAAATTAAATATCTAAACTTAATTTATAAATTAATTACTCTTAATTTAATAGATATTAATTTGCTTGTTAATTTATTTAATTGTTTATATAATTTTTTTTTAAGTTAAGTTACATATCTCCAAATTCTTTCAGCTAAATGTTTATATAATAAGATTAGTTCAATAATTACATTAAAACGAGTGATGTCTGATTTTATAGCTCGACAACTTAAAAGTTATATTCAAAGTTTAACAAAATTATTTAATTCGTACATTATTTTTCTTTTTTACTTCCCTATAAATTCCATAATTTCTTGTCAGATTCTCCGCTGTGTACCTGCTGGACAACTTTCTAATAATCCGTTAAAAAAGCAAACAAGATTCATGAGGAAGAGACTGAGTTGACTCGACCGACACCTGATTAACTCAACGATCTTCAAATGACACTTTATTTTCCCAATTTTCATGGGCTCACTGTAAATGAATTAGACTTGAAACATTAATAGCCAGTCGTCTGGTTTGTCCACCAATGGGCCTTAATTCAAGCTACCTTTTACTATTCTATAAGGGTAAAAATGGTAAATCAGAGTATTTCCTTAACTGGTTTTGTTGTTTTATTTTAATAAATATAAAAATTCAAAAATTGAAGAATACTCTGATTATTTTACTGATTCTTGTTAATTAAAATTTATCACAATATTAAAAAGAATAATAAACTTAGTCACGCACAAAGAACATATAAAACTAGTAATAATTATAGATTTAACTAAAAATTGAATAATCTTGAACCTAAAGGAAAAAAAAATATTAATCTAGAAATTGAAGTGGTTAAAAATATTTGTTTATAACTCATTATATATAAATATATATATATGTCAAACAATATATATATATATATATATGTAATATGAAATTCTGTCAACACCCAAATCTCTCAGACTTTAGGTAAGCTGCAGCTCCCTTGTAAGATAATAAATATTCCGTCACGTACCGTCCTTTATCTACTAACTTTCAAAAACAAAAAAGAAAGTCAAAGTTCAATTTTTGTGAAATTTCCACGTGATTGATATTTTAATATTTCACATTCTTCAACCTCCATTACTTTCGCGCGCACATCTTCATAGTTCATTTTTTCTTCTATTCACATATAAAAAATGTCATCTCTGATAATTTATTTCTCTCTTCTACAACTGGATCGATTAATTGTATATATATATATATATACATATATGTGTGTACATACAGCATCCGCAAAAGATGGATCGACACATAAAACGGAAACTCACTGAATGAGATCAGACTACCCCATAAGTACTGAGTCGACAGTTTTCTACTGATTTCTGGCTAACAGAAATGGAGGCGGCCATGAAAAGAGCTCTCCTTGTCCTAAACTGTATCCTTCTCTTCATCGGCGGCAGTGGAGGTCCTCTCCTAACGAGGCTTTACTTCATCCATGGTGGCAGTCGGCTTTGGTTCTCAAGCTGGCTCCAAACTGGGGGCTTCCCCATCTTCCTCCTCCCTCTCTCCATCGCCTACATCCAGCATCACCGCCGAAACCCATCGCCGGGGAACAGATTTTTCATCGGACCACGTCTGTTCATCGCCTCAGTGATCATTGGAATCCTCACAGGCCTAGATGACTTCCTCATGGCCAACGGTATGGCGCGGCTGCCCATTTCGACTTCCGCGCTGATCTCTGCGACCCAGCTGGCGTTCACGGCGGGGTTTGCTTTTTTGCTGGTGAGGCAGAAGTTTACGGCCTACTCGGTGAATGCGCTGGTGTTGTTAACGATTGGGGCTGCGGTTCTGGCGATGCACGGGAGCAGTGACCGGCCGGAGGGAGAGTCGAGTAAAGAATACATGTTTGGGTTCGTTATGATGATCGGAGCGGCGGCGTTGTACGGGTTTATAATGCCGTTTCTAGAACTGGTTTACGCCAAGGCTGGACAGGAAATTACGTACGCGGTGGTCATGCAGATTCAGATGGTGATATGTGTGTTTGCTACGGGTTTTAGCACTGTGGGGATGGTGATTAACAACGACTTCAAGGTTGCTCTCTCTCTCTCTCTCTCCGTGCATGCCAATATATATACACAGACATACACGTATACGTATATATGTTTATACCAGATTGGATCTTTTAACTAAGCTCATGCATATAGCTAGAAAGGATGCCAAGTTGAGATTCACTTCTATCGTTCTTAAGGCCAAAATAGAGTTTTACTAACGCAGTTTACTTTTAAGTAAAAAAAATTTCTGACAATTTAGTGCTTATATATAATAAACATATGATAATATTATTTATTAATTAATGAATTCAGGTGATTCCAAGAGAAGCAAGAGAGTTTGAGATAGGAGAAACGAAGTACTACCTGGTGGTGGTGTGGAGCGCAGTGGCCTGGCAGTTCTCTTTCTTAGGGGTGGTCGGAATAGTGTTCTGCGCATCGTCTCTGCTGTCAGGCGTCATGGTTTCGCTTCTGATTCCGGTGACGGAGGTTTTAGGAGTCATTTTCTTGGACGAGAAATTCCGTCCAGAAAAAGGTGTTGCTCTTGCCCTCTCCATCTGGGGTTTTATCTCTTACTTCTATGGGGAAGCAAGAACCCTCAAGAAACAAAAACATGTCGATCAAGATACAGAAATGCAACAAGTATGAGCAGATATATATACATATATATATATATATATAATTGTAACGAGGCTCTACCATGTATATCAGTTTTTTTTTTTTCTTTTGAGTTTTTGATTTAGTTAAATTTTTTTATTCTACTGAAAAATAAGTAGAAACTGTCTTTCTTATTTCCGAATTTATATTTGTAACACCCAAATTTTTAATTTTATTTTTGTATTTGAATTTTAGTTTAACTTTTTATATTTTTAATTTATAAGATTTTAATTTAATTTAATTTAATAAAAATAAAAATAATAATAATGATAAAATAAGGTAAAATTATTTTTTGGATTTAATTTAAATTGATTTTGAGAAAAAAGGATGAAAATTTAGATTCTATGGGTGTTTTTGAAAAGAAAATCGGAAACTGGGAGGTCAAAACGTAATTTAGAAAAGTCGTGTCACGTCAGCAACCACGTCAGCAGCCCCGGCCAACCAGGACACGCCGCGTGGCAAGGAAACGCTGACACGGGACGGGCCACGTGGCCGATCCGCGGGCGCGCGATCGGACGGCCCAGATCCGTTCCCGCGCGCACGGACGGCCCAGATTACATCGCGATGGACGTTCCAGATTTAATCCCAAATAAATCGCGATCGGACGGTCCAGATTTAATCTTGATGAACGGTTGATATTAAAAAGCGAAGGATATAAATAACCCCACCCACACCCGACAACAAAAACCTAGCCGCCAGTGCCTCGCCGGAGAAGAAGAACCAGACGCTGGAGGAGCCAGCCGCCGCCACCCGCTGCCGCACCGGAGAATTTTCCGACCGCCAATCGAGGAAAATTTTCTCCCCCTGGCTTATTTTTTGATGCTGAATCCGCCTATGGCCAAACCGGAGCCAAATCACCGGTCAATCGGCCGAAAAACCCCGCCGAAGTCCAGTAGCGCCGCCGCAGCTTCCCTCTGTTTTTGCCTCCGATGAGGCCCTTCCCGGTCTCCATTCGATGCAATTTTTATACCACTGTGATCACCGTTCTTTTCTCTACAAGTTGACCGGAGTAAAACATCAAAACACGACTCATGCCGGAGAAGCCGCCGCACCCGAGAGCACCGCTGCCGGTAAGTCTCAGTTTTTCGTGATTTTTTTGCCCACCGATGGCCCTAGGGTTGTTTTATCGCAGGGACCGATGCAAGTTTGGTCGAATTCAGCCGAAAACAACCAACTCGAGGCGGATCGCCGTCGCCGGAGCACGGCGGAGTCGCCGTGCCAGAATTTCGATATTGGTCGAAAGGGGCCTTAGGTCTGATTTGAGATTTTTTGGGACACGTGCAGGTACTGGTAGTGCGTTTCAGTTTCCCAGAGAAAATTCAGAGAATTTAGGGACAATCCGTATGCGCACTGTAGAGCTGATTTCAGACCCCAAAACAAGTAATGATCTCTCACCCTACCTCCTATCACGGAATTAAAGCTTAATAAATAATTAAACGGTATTTTGTGACTTTATAGATATCTATAATTGATTGAGGTTGCCAATGGAGCCCGAATCTGATACATTGTTGGTCAGTTGTTGTTTGATCTATTTTTCGGTATTAAATGCAGTATGATATTTGATGTATTTATTTTATGGTCTCGTATGCATGAATCATAATTTCTTTCATTATGATTTGTATTATGGTGAACCCGCTACTGCGTTGTCTTGTTTGGTGTCAATGACTGGTTTATATGTTTGTGTATGATTGGATGATTGAGAACAAGAAAAATGGCAAAAAGGTTATGTGAATTGATAAATGGATAATGTGGACAGTCTGACTAGATATCCTGGGAGATGGTGGACGGACCGGGTCCGTAGGGAACCCTACCGGGAACGTGGTCTCTCATACCGGACGGAGTATGGAGACCTTATGTGTTTTTGCACCCATACCGGACGGGGTATGGGGATGGCCCGTTTCACCCTCATACCGGACGAGGTATTGAGGTTTATGATTTTGGCGCCCATACCGGACGGGGTATGGGAACGGCCCTGGAATCAGGTTATTAATATTAATGGTTCACGTGTAGCGAGGACCCCCTATGGATCCCCATGGATACTAGTAGGCTGGTAAAAGAAGAAATTTATTGTCTGATTATTAAAGTGCAAAAGTATGACATGTGTTCTGTTACAAAGTCGATATGATTTTATAATGGTTATAATGTTATTGTTTTCATATGTTTTTTTCAAGAATCTCACCGAGGTAAGTGGACAGTAAAGGTTTTTATGTTAATAAATGAGTTTGTTATAAATTATGCTCCATTGGTTGTTTTTGTTTTCTACCGACCTTTACCCTTGTGGCAGTGAGATAGTGTGATGTCTTTACTGGGCTAGTGTAGCTCATTCCTTACTTAACCATTTCAGATCAGGAAGACGGGGTTCCCGAGCCCGCTCCGCAGGAAGACGGTGAGTTAGACGCCTAAAGACTTTATAGTTCTATTTATAGTTTTTATTTCGAGTATCTCTTTTAATTAGCTTATTCTTTCATGTTTTGATTATGTTTTTGGTTATTGTGTAAGGGATGTTAATGAAAATTTTTATTACGCTTCCGCATTTAAGATTCGTAATACATATTTCTTCATTTAAATTAAGGGGCCATTACAGTTGGTATCAGAGCCGCGTTCCTCGGACTCATCCCTTACACAATAATGCTTAGAGAAATACCCACCGATAAATCGTTACTCAACTCTTCAGTATGAAATGCAAGTGCAAAGAAATGAGGAGAGGAAAACCCCCACTAAACCGAGCAACCCGGGATGATTCGCTCTGAGAAGATGTGGACAAAATATTCGAGATACTGGAAAGGATCATGGTCGCCCAGCAAGGTCAAGAGGAGAGAAGGGAGTTACCCGAACCTCCCCCACTACCATGGGTTGAGCCACCACTACAGCAAGCGGATCCTGAGCCACCCCTGCACGAGCCTGCTCCACCACAGTACCACCCGACACCACCGCCGCAATATGAACCAGTGCCCCTGCCACCGTACTGCCCGGCACCGCCACAGTACAATCTGATGCCCCCACCATATCAGCAGGTGCCACCACAGGGCCCTCCAGTCTATCCCCAGCGGGGCCCAGTCCCTCTTCCACGGGACCCAGCTCCTTCCTTGATCGACCCGGGCTACATAGAGAGGTACATGAGACTAAACCCTTCCACTTTTGTAGGGAGATCCTCTTTTGAAGATGTCCAGTACTGACTGGCGGAGACGGAGAGAGCTTTTAGGACCTTGGGAGTAGTTCCTGAGTAGAGAGTTGCCCTTGCTTCCTACATGTTGGTAGGGGAAGCAGGACGTTGGTGGGAGCTTAAGCAGACCACCCTGCCTACACCAGTCACTTGGGAGCAGTTCTTAGCGGCCTTCCATGCGGAGTATCTCCCTGAGCACATCCAACACCTAAAAGAAATGAAGTTTGTCCAACTGGTCCAGGGAAACATGACAGTATCAGAATATGCTCGTAAGTTCCTAGAGCTGAGCCGATACTCCCCGGAGACATTGATGAATGAGGGCCGAAAGACCAGGAGATTCCAGTGGGGCCTCCGCCCGGAGATCAGGCAACACTTGTTGGTATTGGAGCTCAAGACATATTCAGCAGTTCTAGCAAATGCACAGATCGTGGAAAGGAGCTTCAACACCCGGCTTCAGCCAGGAGGGAGTTCCCGACCCTCAGCTCCGTTCTGCAGGCCAGCACCTACTGCGCCTACCCAACCAAATAAAAGGCCCAGACCAGCCATCCAGGCCCCTCCTCAGGCTCTAGGGGCAGCACGTGGGAAGATCTGTCAGCACTGCGGCAGAGATCACGGGGACCGACCATGCTACCGCCTCAATAACACCTGTTGCATATGTGGCAGTGCCCAACATTATGCAAGAGAATGCCCGAGGAACCAGAATCAAGGAAGGCCCCCTACCCAGGGCTGAGCTTACAACCTTACCCAGCAGGATGCCGACGCCGATCCGGATGTGGTACAAGGTATGTATACTATCTGTGACCATATTGCTCATGTTTTATTTGACACTGGTGCATCGCATTCCTTTGTTTCACATGTTTTTGCTTCTAAAATTAATGTATCACCTAATAAACTTGATTCATTGTTGTTTGTGTCTACTGCCGAATGTGAAACACTACTAGGGAAAGTTATCTACAGGGCTTGTGCCGTGGAGATAGCAAATAGAAAACTGAGTGTAGACCTGATAGGGTTAAACACGGGGGATTTTGATGTAATATTAGGAATGGATTGGCTAGCGGCGTATCACACCACCATAAATTGCTTTAACAAGAAAGTTGTATTTAATCCTTCTAACGATGAACCATTTATAAATTAATAAAATCATTTAGTACTTATTCCTTGATGGCAAGTTTTCTTAACTTCTAGTGCCTTAATCTTGCTATTTTCTCTGACTAGGCAAGTCCAAGAAGGAAATTTGTATTCAAGAGATTCCGGTAGTCCAAGACTTCCCAGATGTGTTTTCAGACGAACTACCCGGTCTGCCAGCGGACAGGGAAGTCGAGTTTACTATAGACCTACAGCCAGGTAACCAGCCCATTTCGGTTGCTCCTTACTACATGAGCCGCATTGAGATGGAAGAGCTGAGGAAACAGATCACTGAATTACAAGACAGTAGTTTTATTAGACATAGTGTGTCCCCTTGGGGTGCCGGAGTCACTTTTGCAAGGAAATGAGATGGAACGTTGAGACTGTGTATTGATTACATAGGATTGAACAAGGTTACAATTAAGAACAAGTATCACCTTCTCCGGATTGATGACCTCTTCGATCAGCTGCAGGGTGCACAGGTCTTCTCTAAAATAGACCTGCGATCAGGTTACCATCAGGTGAAGATAAGAACAGAAGACATCCCCAAGACGGCCTTCCGAACCAGGTACGGATACTATGAGTTCCTGGTCATACCATTTGGGCTAACCAATGCCCCGGCAATCTTTATGGATCCGATGAACAGGGTTTTCAGAGAATTTTTGGATCAATTTGTCATCGTATTCATCGATGATATCTTAAT